GTGCCTTACCTATCTCCCTGAAACTTGTATTTCCATATTTAGATTATTGGCAGGTTTCCTTAGTCAGATTTTCAGTTAACTTCTCAGAAGATTTAAAATGAAACTGGATGTAACAGAAATTGATTCTTTAAAACTAGAATCATACGTCTATCTACTTGCTTTGTCATTAATATAGATTTTAAATCAAATCAGTTTCAAGAAATTTGTTTGGCAAATACTTTTGACATTATTTTATTAAAATTATAAAAATTTACTATGCTTTTCAGCAATTTTGAATTTTGATTCATAAACTTCTATTTATCTAAGTTTACATTTTTATAAATATATGACACTTGTTAAAAATGATGTTTTGCCCCAAATACTTATGAAATTTATATCTTATTTAGAGTTCTTTAAAAATATATATTAACAAGTGATTATTCATTGTAGTCTTCCTTTTTGTTAATCACTTGGATGCAAAACTATTACTACTTTATACATATTTTTTAATTGATTTGAATACAATTTAGCTATGTATATATGCTATGTTATATAATTTAGCTGTGATTATTCATGTGTAGTCTTATAACAAGTGATTATTCATGTGTAGTCTTCCTTTTTGTTAATCACTTGGATACAAAACTATTACTACTTTATACATATTTTATATAACCAGTGATTATTCATGTGTAGTCTTCCTTTTTGTTAATCACTTGGATACAAAACTATTACTACTTTATACATATTTTTTAATTGATTTGAATACAATTTAGCTATGTATATATGCTATGATATAATTAATCCAAGCTTTTATGTTTATATTCTCAAATATTTATGCATATTGATTTCACATATTCAGATTTTTGAACTCTTGTAAATTTAAGACTAAGATTCTAGAATAAAAGCACTATAGTATTTTATTTGTAAAAATAATTACCTTATTAGGTGCTACTTAGATAATTTTTAATTTACATTTTCATTTTGGTCGTGAGTTTAGTTGTGGGTATCCCTAGTTTAGATCCTTAGTTTGACCTGTCTGCACAATTTGTTGTAAGGTCGACTAAAATTTTTGAAGATGCTTTCACATATAAGTATAAAATGCTACAATATTTGAGTAACAGTACAATTTTTATATGAGATATATCTGAAAATCTGTCTTATTGGTTGATATTTTGGTGACTATAAATCAATTTCCAAGCTCATTGTTTATTTATGCAATCCAGTGCATAGTTGAATGTGAGGTATTTCATTTATTTATTTGTTTACTTTTTGGAGGTACTTAAAAAATAGTGTTGGTTTTTGTACCATTCATTGTTTTGTTTGTCCTCATTAGTTGATTGTTGTGTGTTAAACAGACATCCCTGGAGCTTATTCTCCACACTCTGTGAATCCACTCATTAATCACCAGTCACCTTTGGAGATGGGAAAATTACTTACCTGTATTTCTTTTTCTCAGAAAGCGTGCTCTGGAATGGATTCACAAATGAGCTACCCTCCTTTCCTCAAAGAGTAAGGTTTCTGCTTTACAGGATTTTTTTTCTTGGGTTATTTTTCCTCTCATCTTTTGAATTTGAAAAGAACTGAGGGAAGGCACCTGGAGAAACTACTGACATACTCACTAGGGGAGCTCCAAAGCTTGTGCTGTCCCTAGGGGCAGTGTCAATGGCTCTTAAAGCTAGAAAGCTCATACTTGGAGTTGAAACAGGGGCTCAAAGAATCCATTTTCCCAGTGTACCTTCTGAAAGGATAAGTTTCAGGTAAGTAATTTTCTTTTACTATGTGATATGTTTTATTCATACTTATAAAAATACACAGGTCCACTTCTCCAGGTACTAAGGCAACTGTTTATGTTCACAGTTTAGATTCATAAGTCTTACTGAATGTCAGAAATATAAAATCTTAAAAAACAAATGATACCTGCTTGTGAAATACATAAAATAATTGATTTAAATCGACAAATATTTAATACTGCATTTATGATCAGTGTATTGTGCTAGTTCTGTCATTTTCCTTCTTATGAGATACATCTTGATAAAATTATTTTTTTGATAGCATGAAACATGTCTTTTGAACTCAAATTCCAGTGTTTAAAATCAATTATGCATGTGTATGTTCAGTGTGTGTCAGTCTGTCTAGGATGATGGCAACTATTTATTTCAAGTTAGGTGCTTTCTACATGTATGTTAACAGAACTCATTGTTAAACTAATTTAAAAATATATAATTTTTAAAGTTATGATAAGACAGTTTGAGCTTTAAAAGTAGACCAAAAAATTTTTTAGTGTAGTAGCTATATTTAGTATAATTTAGTTTCTAAACAGATAACATTGGTCAGATATTTATACTCAGTTCTGCTGCTAAATGTGGGTACTTAAGAGTAGCATTGAATACATAACAAAATATTAAATGTTTGCTCAAATTTATTTTCTTTGTATTTTTATTAAATCACAATTTGATTCAGTATTATAAAATATTTCAGACATTCTAGTCTGCAAACTTTGAAAGTCTTTATGACTTTTTTATTTCTTCAGAAGTGTTTTTAAGTGAAACTTACTTTGAAATGGTTCATATGAACATTTTAAAATATAGTTTTACTTTTGAATTGCTATCAAGGCAGACATGACTTCAACCATTTGATATGGCAGCCTTGAACTTGGAAATAAGCAGAAAGAATTTTTGAGTTGCAGATGCTGCCACAAGGTTTATAAACCTTTCTCTGTACTGTAGCAATTTTCAGATAAGACAATTATGCCCTAATAACAGGGTTTATTGAAAGTGGCTAATACTAGCAGCTATTTCCAGAATCAAGGAAAAGAAAATGTATTATTATAAATCCAAAGTAGTTCAGGTTCAAAGAAGATGCATCTTGATTTCCTCCAACAATAATAGTATTAGTACAGTGACGGAGTCAGATTTTTCTTGTTTGAGATCATTCATTCAGTTTTTCATTCAATTCACAGAAGATTCTGGACAGATATTATGAAAAGTTTGACGCGAGTAGTAGTTCAGCATCAGTAAATTGAGTCAATGATATAACTTTAGATTTGGTTTTGAGCCTTATAACAGCCACAGCAAACAGGAAACATCAGTTATATGAAGGGGCTTCAAAAAGTTTGTGAAAAAGTTCCATTATTCAATTCCAGTTTTCTATGAACTCTTTGAAGTCCTCTCATGTATGTAGTTCTGCTTATTTAATAGGAGGAAATATATGTATGTGCTTGAATGCATATATGTAACCTAACTAATTTGAAAGAAAATAATCATGAATTATTCATTATATGGGCATTGAGTGGTTGTCATTGTCATCTCTAACAATTTTCTTTTAGTTCAAGAACTATAGTGGATCATGGAGACATTCTGTTATTTACAAAAAAGTTAAATTTCATTTGGAAAGCAGAGAGCCTCAGACCCTATCGCTTGATTCTAGGATACCATCAACTGAAATATGCAATATTTAGTAATGGCTCTTGGAGGAAAATTAAGAACTGCCACACTGGGTGTCAGGGGCTTCAAAAGAATCATGGACAAATGAAATGAAAGGATAATAGATTTTTCCACAAACTTTGTGAAACCTTCTCATATATATTAATTGTATGTAAAAAGTGAAAGCCAAGGAATTATGGTAAATTTTAGAAAAATGACTATCAAAGATGATCAACATTAACAAATGAATGAAGTATTAAGTTCTGTGATCTATGGCCTTTCTTAAAAGGATATCAAAGAGGATTTTTGTATAGTTTCGGACTTCCCATTACTTGTAAGATGATATTTTTTAGTAAGATGAACAGAAAACTTAAGGATCCCAATTTCTAGTGAAAAATACCCATCTACTCAGATATGTGAGGCAATATTTTGGATGTATGAACATTACTCTAAATATATAGCTTTAGGTGCATATTGTGTGTACATGATTGACACATTCTAATACCTTTCTCTGTACCTGGAAGTAGCACTTTTCAGATAAGACAATTATGTGCTAGTCACAGGACTTATTGAAAGTGTCTAATACTAATAGCTATTTCTAGAAGCAAGGACAAGAAAATGTATTAGTATAAATCCAAAGTAGTTCAGGTTCAAAGAAATATGCATCTTGATTTTAGAAGAGTTTTGATAAATTTTTAAATTACATAACTAGTGAAATGAGGTGGGGTTTTTTTGTGTGTGTGGTGGAACAGCATTATTGAAAGATAGGTTTCAGTGTATCTGAAATATATCTTAATTCAGTAAGAATCCATAATTAGGTATAAAGATATTTAATTTTTTGTTTTCATAAGAATATAGTAAGAAGTAAGATTTATTTTATGAGACTTTTGATTTCTGTCTTTTTAATTTCTTCCATTTTACCCTTTCTGTTCTTTGCAGAACAACTAAACATTGATCTATGCTTTTGTACCCATATTGAGATTTAATAATGTCAGAGTAGGACTTTTGTATTTATTATTCTGTATATTCTATTCATACTACATAAAATAGTTATACTGATCCTTTTTCAAATAGTAAGCTTTGTAAAATAAAAAGATTAATTTTTATATAAGGGTCATAAAAATCACACGAGTCACACATGTATCACCGATCTATGCTATTTATTCTGTACTAAAGAGAACATATTTGCATCTATGCAGCAAAAGCTAAGCTTTCAATAATTTGTTATACTGAAATAGTTTCCTTCTGAAAAATCCTTGGATCTTATTCTTTGAGTTTACTTTTTATTATAGACTGATATAAAAAATGTTTAACAGTGCTTCTCACTTTACAAGCTGTTTTGTTTCCTTAATCTCTTGTATTGCTGATGACTTTAAGGTTCTGCAACTTGATGTAGTTTTTAGCATAAAGCATTAAACACTGTGGTGATACATATAATTTCCTTATTACCTTCCCAAATATGGCTCCTGGGAATGATTCTCTCAGAGGCTTAAGCTATGCTTTGCCTATCTTGAGAATTGAAATTATGTGGTAAGCACTTGATTTCTTTTAGCTTCTAATTTTTCCCTATTTTATTTTGTACATGATATTTGTTTCAAGGTCAAAGGTTCCGTTACAGTTACTATGATGAATCCCAGGGGGAGATTTATAGATCCATTGAACATCTAGATAAAATGGTAAGTCTTTCAGGTGTGGGGTTTTAAAGCTCTAAGACTTTTTCTTTTAATTTCAGATTAGTGATTCAAGACGTAATATGTTGACTTATACACAATGGACTGACAATTCTTTCCCAAGTTTTAACTAAATGTGCTATATGCAATTTGTAATTATATGAATATTGATTGTAAGAATAATCCCTGTTCTGCTATTAGAAATATCCTTCATAATTTCATTTGATGAAGGAGAATATTTATGAATAAATAGGTAGGGATTTAAAATGGTTTTGTAGGGACAATCTTTGTTTTAGGGGCAATAGAATACTAATCTCATTATTACTGTTAAGCAGAAGCAAGTTTAGCAGACAGGGGTATCTTGACTCTAAATCTTATTTGTCCCAATGGCTTATTGTTAATGTAATGAGCTGAGCAGTTATCTTTTGCAGCATATTAATTAACTTAGTATAGCTTTAGGTTTGGTAGTGGACCAAAGTACTATTCTTGTGCAATGCTGGAGACTTTATGAATTGTTGTTGTTAAGTGCCGTCGAGTCGGTTTCGACCCATAGCGACCCTGAACAGGGTTTCCGAGGCTGTAAATCTTTACGGGAGCAGATCGCCTGACCTTTCTCCCGTGGAGCGGCTGGTAGTTTCAAACTGCTGACCTTGCGGTTCGTAGCCCGATTCGTAACCACTACGCTACCAGAGCTCTAAATATCTGTGCTTTATGGGTTTAAATAACCTACAATTCTAAACTTTTGATTGAAAGTATTATTATTATTTTTTACAATTACAATAATTTTTCTTCCAGAAATAATGAAATAATTGTAGCCTTTTAATGATGCTTTGCAGGAATTCTAGTAAACATTTATTTTTGCTAATTTAAATCTTGTCTGATAGGCTACCATGGTTATAGAAATACTGTATTTTTATACAAATAACAATTTCCTTCTACATTTGTTTGCCAATTATGCCTTCTGTGGCACAATGCACTTATGAAAATACCTTGAGGGGAGACGGCAAGGTTGGCAAACAAACATTGAAGGAGTCCATTATTTTTGTTAAAAACACAGTTAAGTGCTGTCTATTGGGTTCCGAGTCATAGCAACCCTGTATGGGGTTTTTAAGAAGTGGCTGGTGGGCTTCAACCACTGACTTTGTCGTTAGCAGTCCAGTGCTTATCCTACAGCACTACACCAGGACTCCAAAACACAGTTGTTGTTTTTAAGTACAGTGGCGTCGGTTCCGACTCATAGTGACCCTGCACAGGGTTTCCGAGGCTGAAAATCTTTGCGGGAGCAGAAAGCCTCATCTTTCTCCCACGGAACAGGTGGTAGTTTTGAACTGCCCACCTTGAGGTTAGCAGCTCGATTCGTAACTACTAGTATTTAATTTTATTTTAAATTAAAAATTTTTAGATGTGCTTTATATGGAATTACTTTTGATTTTTTTCATATTTTTAAAATTCTCTTAAAAGGAATGAAAATTTAGTGAAATTAATAATTTCAAATATAATAAATTTGTACCATTGGTGTATTTCTTTAAAATGTCTTATAAATCATATTCTTGTGTATCTAATTGTTATTTTTCTTTTAATTTGATTTCTGATTGTTTTTAAACTTAAGATTTTAGTTTTAAATTTCAATGGCTTCTAGCTTTTGTTTATTAAAGTTTTTAAACCTTGGTGATGGTGGTTATATGCTGTGGAGTCAGTTCTAACTCATAGTGACCCTGTGTAGGGTTTATGAGGCTATAAATTTTAATGGGAGCAGAAAGCCTCATCTTTCTCCCATGGAGCAGCTGGTAAAGTCAAACTATTGACCTTGCTAAGGTTAGCAGCCCAGTTTGTAATCCACTGTGCTACCAGATCTCCTTGGAAACCAAATTACTTTCCTAAATGGAAATAACATAGCTTTCTTTCTTCTTTTGCCCTTTGTTCTGCTGCAAATTCTTACCTTATTTATTTATTTGGCTGTTTGGATTTTTCTTAAATGCAATGTCGATACGTTCTTTTCAATATAGAATTAAAAATATGATTGTGTCCTAACACATTAGAAAAGTTTGATATTTTCATAAAAGTCATGTGATAGTCACAGCACTTATTTTAATTATTTAAAAAAATCATACCAATCACTATATTTTCTGCTCATAAATGGAATATTAACTATAGCAGACCCATCAGTTAACTGTCAGCCAACAAGTCTGTGACTTGTTAAAATAGAATTCACCAAAGTGTAAAGCTGTGTATATGTGAGAGTGAGTCAAAAGATATTGCTACAAAACCAGAAATTTTCATTAAACAAAAATATCAAAATGTAAAGTTACTGTTGCTTGACATATCCACCATCAAAGTCTATATATTTCTGAAGGTGGTGTTTCAATCTCTTTAACCCTTCCCCAAAGAATTCTGAGGTCTTCAATTTACATCATGTCAAAACAACAATTTTGGCATCCTCGAGGGATTCAAATCATGTTACTTTTCAATGTTCTTTGAGTTTTGGGAACAAAAAGAAACCTGAAAGGGAAGGATCAAGATCCAGGTGGAGAAGGGGTAAGGTTTCCCATTGAAATTCTAGCAGGATAGCCCTTGCTACCCTGAAGAATGAGCATGTGCATTGTTGTGTTGGAAAAACATTCCTCAGCAGAACTCTTCACCAATGATGTTTTTACCTTTTTATTTAAAAGTTCTTCATCATAACCCTCAGTGATTGCCTGTGTCCTTAAAGAAAATCTGCCAAGATTACCTCTTTGGAATCAAAACCAAATAGTCACTATAGCCTCTCTGCCTGGAATTGAAGTGGCTCAGCAGCTCTCTGTGGAAATCATTTTGGTTGGACTTTTTTCTTTTTTTCAAATTGTGTTTGCGGGCACTCTTAAGTTTAAGACAGATGTATTACTGAGAGAATTTATCTGCAGCCATCCAGTGATCACAAAGATATGGTTAAACATGTCTTTTTTGTATATAGACTAAACCTGTATATTAACTGTAGCCTTAGTAGCTGTACACTGAGTTGCCTGCATATGCCTTTGAACAAGATTATTTAGTATATAAAGTAAATAAAATTTTACTGTAAAGCATCTGGATCTGAACATAAAGATGGTGGTGGTGTTGTGTGCTATGGAATCAGTTCTCACTCATAGCGACCCTGTCCAGGGTTTCCAAGGTTGTAAATCTTTACAGGAGCAGAAAGCCTCAATTTTCTACTTCAGAACCACTGATAGTTTTGAACTGCTGTCTGTGAGATTAGCAGCCCAATTTGTAACCACTATGCTACTTGAACAGAGAGTTAGAATACTTCATATCATACATATACCCTAGGGTTACTATGAAATGGAATCAACCTGATGACTAAAGGTTTTTGGTTTATTCTATATAGTTTAATTCTTTTGATTTCTAATTCTACTCCTAGATTTATTTCTTAACGGCCTCAGAAACTTTTGATTTTATCATCATTTTTTTTTTCATATAGAAAATGTTTAAGGAGCCCTACTGGTACAGTAGGAGCTCTGGTAGCTCTGGTAGCGTAGTGGTTACGAAACAGGCTGGTGACCTCAAGGTTGGCAGTTCGAAACTACCAGCGGTTCTGCGGGAGAAAAATGAGGTGTTTTGCTCCTGAAATGATTTACAGTCTTGGAAACCCTGTGCAGGGTCATTATGAGTCGGAATCGACTCCACAGTACTTAACAACAACTGGTACAGTGGGTTAAGCATTGGGCTACTAATCGTAAGGTTGGCGGTTCAAATCCACCAGCCATTCTATGGAGAAAAATAAGGTTGTATTCTCCTGTAAAGATTTACAGTGTTGGAAACCCTACAGAGCAGTTCCACTTTTCCTACAGCATTGCTATTAGTTGAAATCAATTCAGTGACAGTGGGTTTTTGCTTAGCAAATGTTTAATCAATGTCTAGTATATGTCTTGTACTGTGTGAAGTATTGAAGACACCAAAAAGAAGAAACATGTTCTCTGAATTTATGAGTTAGTATAACAAGTCTCAAACTATAGAATTGTAAGATATTTAGGAGGTAGAATGAATGAATGAATGGATAAGACATTAGTAATTGATTAGTGTTGTGGGTTGAATTGCTCACACTCCCCCAAATATGTGTTGAATTTCTGACCCTTGTACCTCTGGATGTGGTCTTGTTTGCAAAGAGGGCATTCTTTTATTATGTTAATGATGTCACCATACAGGTAGAGAGTAAATTCTAAGCCTAATCATGTCTGAGTTATAAAAAACCAGAATAGTTTCATATGCAGGGGAAGACAGGGGTTTCATCTATAAACCGAAGAATGAGCAAACACCCAGGGACCATTGACAAGGAAGAAATCTTGGTTAAGACCCTCATTTGGAATTTTAGCTTCTACAATTGTGAGACAATAAATTTTTTCTTTTTCCTGACTTGAACCAAGTTTTTATTATACAAAGGTCACATAATTGGTTATTTCTCTACTCTGTGCACAACTATTCTTACTCTCCACAGAAAGGCTGCTTCTTTGCTTTTCATCTAGTGGTTGTTGTTGTTGTTAAGTGCCGTTAAGTCGGTTCCGACCCATAGTGACCCTGTAGGGTTTCCAAGGAGCAGCTGGTAAGCTTGAACCACCAACCTTGCAGTTCAGATGGCTTTGCAGTCTGGCACATTAACCCACAGCGCCACACGAGGACCAAGTACTAAATCCTGATTTTAACAGAATAGTAGTAAAAATGCCTCAGTGATTTACGCAGAAAGCAGTACATTGGTAATGGCTCTTGCACCCAGTATCGGGAATGTACAAATGGCTTTTTATTAAAAAATACAAAATAAATTATCTGTAGACATAGACAATGATAGCAGTAAACCATTATATATTGTCAACTGAAACCAGTAATGGATGGTGATTTTCTTATAACATCAGCCAGCCTTTTCTTTAGACATCTTCTTCTCTTTAAATGACTTCTCTGAAGTTACTGGTGAGGAATGCTGCCTTCAACTTCCTGTTGCAGTTCATTGGTACATGGTAAAGCACTATTCTAGGAACTAG